CTTATCCCATGGCTTAATTGTGGAAAATAGGAAGACTAGCCTTGGAGACTGGTCAGTTGACTGCCTGTTGTTTGACCATGGTAAAATATTGTCAAATATTACAGCAAGAATGTTCTGTCTTCCCTTCTTGATTGCAACATGGTGCCATTCTTCTACTTTTTAGAACTTCATTTCATTTTGTATTCCGTTTTTGAGTTAAAACTACTTAGTTAACTACTGGAGAGTAGAGTCTTCACTCTTTAGTATTTACTGGTTTAATAAATTGGTGCTTTCAAATATGAACATTTTGACATTATTTGTCAGTATTTGATTGATTGACTAATTATGGACTGGTCAAGTACCCAACCCTAAGAAAGCTCGTACACTTCTTTCAATTCTATTTATCTACCTTAGGGGGTCCCAAACTTTTTGTAATCATAATCCCATTTTAATGAAGTATTTCCTGTGGGAGACCGTTTTGTAGAGCAAAATGGAAACGCAGCTGCTAAATAGCTGCAGTTAAACTATTTCTCTAGAATCACGCTAGAGATTGGCTTCATCTACACTATGGTTCCCACAGCTCCTGACAATGACTCAGCAAGATCTAGAGAGTTTTGTATAAGTTTCTGCAGAATAGACTCTGCCTAAAGCACTCTGTAGACCAGGAAATGGAACCAAGACTGACGGTGTTCTCACCAGTGCAGCCCCTTGAGCCAGCACTGAAAACAGTTTTGTCCAGTTTCTGCTAGCATTTCTCACGTAGTGGCCATCACTGCTCATTAGGGATGTTAGCATGTAGTAGTTTACACTGTTAACCGATAAGACAGGGCTTGTTGGTTAATCCTAATTACTACATTAGGGTGGATTAAGGTTCTTAATGCATCTGTAAAATTGCTTAAAAATCCATGGAGGTTGGACAAGGCCTTACACAATGAGTGGAAGAGTCCAAATCTAAACACTTCAATGTAAATACTGAATGTGGTTGTGGGTGGGTGGAAGTTGGTGGCAGGTAGCTTCTGATTGCTAAACCAATCTATGCTCATGTACATCTCTTGTACCATTCTAGAGTGAGAACTGCACTATGGGAACCTGATGCAGATAAATAACTGTCAGCAGGTATTGAATGTCCATCCCATTGCTTCACGGTGACAACAAAAATAAATAGATCAGTTATTGGGGTAGTCAGAAAGCTTTTTTGTTCACCCAGACCTGTGTATAAATCAGGCTCGTATCTTGATTCAGGAAAGTCTATTGAAATCTGAGTGACATGGGGGGCTTATCTGTCCCTGGAGCAATAAGGCTAGGCAGTTTTACTGCACTTGCAGAACTAGTTCAGCCCATTTAAAAGCAATTTGTGGACCCCGATGGCTGCTTACATTTCGTAAAATGTGATAACTTGTAGCAGGAACCTTTTCAGAATACTCTTGCCTGATGGATGTGCAAGTTGCACGGTTTGATTGACAGGAATAGTCTTTGCTTGGACTTTACTTTTTGTTTTTCACTTTGTCTTTCTCCCTCCAGGTCATGGCTCTGTGGAGAGCCTTAAGGATGAAGAAAAAACTGTCCCTGTCAGGTGAGGCTACTCCTGCAAGTTTTCTCAACTCCTTAGACATTCTTGAGGCCTATCTGCTAGGGATGTTGCTTGCACTGGTGTGGGACACTGCACCTCGGCATTTTAAATGCAGTAAGAAATCGGTGACTCTTACTACGTTTAAAATGCAGAGGTGCAGCGCAGGTGGTTCCTGGAGTTCCAGGGACAGCTCAGTCCCTGCTTGAGCCGGCTCCAGGAGCTACCCCCGCTACAGCTCTGCAGAGCGGCCCTTATCGACTAATCATGTAATTGATATACATTTGACATCCCTTCTATCCGCTCCCCAGGCCGCATCTCAAGGAGCCACTTCCTGTTCCTTACTAGCCAGAATGACTACAGACCCAGGCTTTTCCCTCAAGTTTGAGCTTTTGGAGTCTAGTGTAAATAGTTAAGGTCCCAGCTAATGTTAAATCTAAATTTTACCATAGTGGGTTTCTTATCATTTAAACACATTTTTTCATATTTTGTTGCCTTTGTGTCTTGACTAAGGTTGCAAACCCATGTAAGAAATTAGAATTGACAATGTTCATCTTGCCCCACCGTGTTCCTTTGTTTTGGATGGGCTTGAAAAGGTGCCTTTTAGGCATTTGACTAAAGGCTGTGATGTCTGCAAAGCTTTTTGTCAAAATGGGCCCCAAAGAACTATAACAGTGCTCTTAAGCTGGCTCTGGGAGGCCCTGTTCTGAAAGGCATCCTGTGGTGATGGGTGAAAGGTGCAAAATAAATGTATTTAATGTCACATTTGGGGGATTTCTTCAATGGCTACCTGGCATATAATGTGTCATTGCCCCCAGACAGCTCTGAGCTGGTACTGTTTTTGCCACTAAATGTCCAACTCTTTCTTGCAGATCTGAGCAGGGACTTACTACCCCCTCTAAGGAGGTAAGATCTGGGTAGGGCTCACATTATGTAAACACTGGAGGAGAACTTTGAAAAACTCCTTAGTTCAACTTGCCCTGGGCAAGTTGATGGCATCACTGTTATCCAGAGCACAGCAAGGATTTTTTTTATATTAGTGGGGGAAATTGGTGGCTTCTCTTTACTTGGTCATTTTTAGATGCTGATGGTGATCAGAAACTTGGGGGTGGGAGGAGAATCTTCAGCCCTTTGCAGGCTAATAAATGAGGCTGTTCATGGTGTCCAGCATACTCAGGACCTGACCGGTCCCAAATGAGGGAATTTGCTAGACCAGAGTTGGTCCCCTACTCCCCAGACCACCATCCCTCTCCATTGCCAGCCCCAGCTGTGCTCCCTACCCCACCAGGGCTGCCATGTCTTTGGCCCCAGCCCCGCTACTGTAGCAGTTGTGACTGCCACGTCCCTGGTCCTGCTAAGTGGGCTGCCATGGCCCCTGCTGTGCTACCGAGGTTTGGGCTCTGAACCGCCAGTCCTCTTGCCACTGGGGCGCACAGCCAGGACTCTTTGGTCCAGGAACACCCGTGGTCTTGCTGGTAGTTGCAGTTTTGGGAGGTCCAACCTGTAGTGGGGAGTGTTTTGGTTAAACTGTTGTTCAGTCTGCACACCATTATTAAATTGGGAACTTAAACTGAATGCAACTTTAAAAACTTTCCTGGGGACCTTTAAATAATGTTTAGGTGTAACTAGAAGGCTGTACCCCCTGCTTGCTATGCTAGCCACTCTCTTCCCCTCTGTCCGCTGCAGCTGAGTCATTGAAAAAAAAATTATATATATTGAGAGGTAAGGGCTTGTCCATCTCTGTATGTTAGAGAATTACTGAATATTGTAATTAACACATAGGCTGAAACCACTTCTTCCCTGATCTGTGCTTCCTTCAGTTGAGCTCATGAGGAAAAGCCCCAAAATTAAGCAAACAAGTTTGTTTCAAGTCCTCATGTCCCTGGCCCATCACCAGCACTTCTCTCCCAATTATAATCCCGTGAATCTCCCATTTTTAGAGTGGTTCATTGGGTTACAGCATCTCTGTCTACCAACAGCATTTGGCACCTGGCAGAGATTTCCCTTTGGGGGCCTGTGGTCAGTATGAAAATGTAGTGACTCCGAACGACTCTCCAAAGCAAAATAATTTTCTCTAGTAGCCACTAGGGCTATAGGAATCAGAAGCATTACAACAACAAAATCCTACAGACATGTTGTCCTACCTAAAGCCCGAGGGAAACGTTAAGTGTTAGGGAAATCTGACTTATCTCTCATACCCCTGCTCTTCTGAGGACCAAGTTAGTCTGTTTCTTGGCAGAGCCTGCCTACCTGGGTCACTTCCCAGAGCCATTTGGGGTTATGAGGCACCTCAGCACTGCCTATACCAGGAAGTCTTATCTGTGCAGGGTTGTTGCTGACATACACTAATCCCAGACTCCAAGCAGGCCCTGACCTGTGTAACCCCTTTTCCATTGGATGCTCCCAGAATTACTAGGCCAACTCAATTCCCTGCTTTTAGCTGGCTGTTTTCAGCTCTGCCTGGCTGAAGTCTTGTTCCTTGGTGTCTCCAATTCTCCTGCAGCTCTCTATTCCATGCAAGAACCTGCTAACTCTCTGCAGCTTCCTTGCTGGCTCTTTACAGATACCAGCTGCCCTCCCTCAGGCTCCATTCTGAGGCTGTTAATGAAGCATACTGGTCCAGTTTCCTCTTAAAAGGCCCAGTCCACTCTTTGACTCTCAGTCATGCTGAAGACTGCAAGATGTGAATCAAATAGAGAACACATAGTAATAAAATAGAGATCTCCTATATTCTTCCAACTTCTTAGCATGCAATTAGGTATTTGAAGTAACCAGCATTCCCCTTGGTGACTCTGTGCCTATCTGCCACTGCCTGGGAAAAGAAAGGCTGCAACCAGCCCAGTTGTCACATGGCCTGGGTTCAGCCAGTTTCCTATGAGCAATTTCCCTCCCCAACCCTGCCACTTGTGTGTTCGATGCGACCAGCTGCTAGTAACTTTAGTGCTGGCACATGCTGTGGCTTGTTACTCCTGTGGGACTTTCTCTCTTATAGTTACAGGGTGGGACTTCACTCAAAAGGTTTGTGCCTATTGTATTCCCAGTGTTTTGCAGAACACAGTACTTTCAAATGCTGACTGAGTTTTTATTTGTCTCTGGGCATCGTACTGAAATCCTGTTGCCTTT